GGTAACACAGCTGGGAATATTTGGTTTTAATTTGGCTTTTATCAGGGTTTATTCTTTTGTATTTTTGTACTGTGTATTTTTGTATTTTGGGTATATTATTTGTTTTAATATGCTGTGAACCGCCCTGAGTCCTATGGGAGAAGGGCGGTATATAAATTAAAATAATAAATAAATAAATAAATAAATAAATAAATAAATAAATAAATAGTCCTCAACTTGAGCCCAAGATTTCTGTTGCTAAGTTGTTAAGTGAGATTTGCTCCATTTTACGGCCTTTCTTGCCACGGTTGTTAAGTGAATCAGTGCGATTGTTAAGTTAGTCACACAGTTGTTAAGTGAATCTGGCTTCCCCATGGACTTAGTTTGTCAGAAGGTCGCAAAAGGGGATCACATGACCCCAGGACACGGCAATCGTCATAAATATGAGTCAGTTGCCAAGCGTCTGAATTTTGATCACGTGACCCTGGGGATGCTGCAATGGTCAAAAGTGTGAAAAAAGGTCATGTCACTTTTTTAGTGCCATAAATCTGAACGGTCACTAACTGAACTATTGTAAGTTGAGGACTATATTGTATAGGGGTGTACAGGGTGTTTCACAGCTGTCTAGTACAGTGTTTTTCAACCTGTGAACAGTAAGCTGGGTAGACTTTAACTCGAGTTGAGTTGAAGTCCACATAGCTTAAAAGTTGCCAAGGTGGAGAAATGCTGTTCTAGCACAAGTAAATTTACCGGTATGTGGCCTCTATGTGGTGGCTCTCATTGGGATCTCATCCAGGCAGACGGGATTTCAATTTCCACTTTCCCAGCTAGAAGAGTCTTTGTTTTGCAAAATTGGCTTATTTGGGTACAATGCTGCTGTCAACACACACTGAGATATGATTTAATGTAGGCTGTGCATGTAGCAACTCAAGGCTGCTAAGAAAATAATAGAACAATAGAATTCTTTATTGGCCAAATATGACTGGACATACACAAGGAATTTGTCTCTGGTGCATAAGCTCTCAGTGTACATACGAGCAACAAGGGATAATCATAACCATAATCATAAAATGCAATCATCATAAATCATAGACACAACATCAGTGAGAGTCATGGGATATTAAAGCAATCAACGTAAATCAAAATAGCATACTAAAAAGCAATCAACATAAATCATGAGATACAACAGTAAGTTATAGTCATAAGAATCTGAGGAAATAGGTAATAGGACAGATGACAAGGATAATAAGTAATACAGCCTTACTAAGTGGTTTGACATCCCAGGGCATAGACAGTGTTGTGGGAATTAGTTGTTTAATAGAGAGATAGCATGGGGGGAAAATTGTCTTTGTTTCTGGTTGTTTTGGTGTGCAATGCCCTGTAGCAGGGGTCTTCAAACTTGGCAACTTTAAGACTTGTGGACTTCAACTCCCAGAATTCTTCAGCCAGCCCTGGCTGGCTGAGGAATTCTGGGAGTTGAAATCCACAAGTCTTAAAGTTGCCAAGTTTGAAGACCCCTGCCCTATAGTGTCGTCTTGAGGAAAGAAGCTGGAAGAGTTTATGTCCAGGATGTGAGGGGTCTGTAGATATTTCCACAGCCCTCTTTCAGGTTTGTGCATTATATAGGTCTTCAGTGGAAGGCAGGCTGGTTGCAATTATTTTTTATGCAGTCCTAACTGTCCATTGAACTCTGTGTCTGTCTTGTTTGGTTGCTGTGTCAACCCAGACAGTTATAGAGGTGCAAATTCCTTTGAAGAACTGTATCGGGGCAGACTG